TTTTTTTGAGAAAGGGTGTCGCTATTCAGTTCGGGCTGGTCTTGAGCTCATTTTGTAGCCCAGGCTGGTCTCGAACTTGAAATGATCGATCCTCCTGCCTTAGCCTCCCGAGTGCTGGGATTACAGGCATTTGCCACCATGCCTGGCTCATTTGTGCATTTCAAAAGCAGGGCAGAAGCTGAGTAGGGAAGGAATGGTACTCACTCTCAGACCATGGACAATAAGGGAGCAGGGACCTGTGAAGTAGGTCCCAGTTAAATATGAGAGTCTGAGCCTGAGTCCCAGTCTTGCAGGCAAGGAGGAACTGTCAGGATGAAGGGCACAGTCACAACTCCCTGCCTTTGTTCAAGCCCTTGCATTCTCCCCAGTGGAAATTTGATTGCCTTCTGCATCCTTGGGAAAATTCATCCCACACGTTCAGGTAGCACTGCTGGCTTCTCCAGTTACACTTTCTTGTTGCCTCCTTTTCACCCTCAACATTCTTCCAGCTGGTGACTGCAAAGACAATAGAATTAGTGACTTCAGTTTTGAGAAGAGGGGTTCCTGGTGGCTCACAAGGACTGCAGAAGACAAGAGATACCTTTGGCGATGTCAAAGAGAGGCAAAGTGAGGAAAAGTGGCCATGCTCCACCTACTGGCTCGGCTGCCTGGACCTCTGTCTACCTCATGTGTATTCTTCAATATCCACCGTACCCTGCCCACTCAGTGCTCCACCTATGCCCTGCCCACTCCCATGCTCCGCCTGCTCCCTGCCAGGTTCAAACTGCAGCCTGAGCCAGTCCATGCTTCCCCTTTCCGCTGGTGAAACAGCTTGCTCCATAGCAAAATAGAAACTGGCCTGCAAACAGACATGCAGCTGCACAAGTTTCCTGCCCGGCTGAACTCTGTGGCCTGTGGGCTCCTGCTTCTCTTCATCTGTGGCCAGGGTGAGATTCCTGAGGGGGTGATAAGGACCGGGGTCTCATCTGCAAACTGCAGAGGTAGAGCCTGAGACTATGGAAGTGAAGTTCCAGGGAAGGAAGTGCTGGTGGAAATGGCAGGCTATACTGTGGGAATCCTGGGCCCACTGAGCACCCCCAAAACTGGCAAGTGCCCAGCGTGAGCCTTGGGAGAAAATGGGTTAGAGCTCAGGACACCCAACACTTCAGAGGGAGGCCAGTGTGAGGGCTATGAGCAGTACTGGAAAGGTAGGTGAGAAGCCTGTTGGGAGGGAGTTGGAATTCTGGGCATTTCAGCCCTGTGTGTGTAGCTGTGGCAATAGCTGATTCTGGCCCTCAACTGTAACAACAATGACAGTAATAGCTTCCTGAAGCCACTGGGTCATAAGTATGTACCACCTTTGCCAGAGAGGTCCCTTAGAATTCTCTTAAGGTGCCTCAGGCAAATTCACTGTCTCTGAAACATACAGAAGCCCCTAGGCACCACGTCCCAAAGCTGAGCTGAGTTCTGGATTCCCTTCACTCCATGTCCTAACCTAGGGCAAAAGCATGGCTTGGCTTCCAGGGCAAAGGTGATGTGCTCTGTGCCTGCTAGATAGTCTCCAGGCTCTTATCAGGAGCCAATACCACGATGGCTACATGTGCAGGGTGGGTCTGCAGCCTTTGACCCTCTCACTCAAAGCCTCCTAGCCTGGGACCTGGCCATCTGCCCTCACCCTTCCCCAGGCCAGTCTGCCCAGGAGGAGCCACCACTCACCTCACCTCCAGAACACACCCTGCTAGATTCCTTTCTTACCTGCTAATGACCAGCTCTTGGTGGGTACCATGACTTCTAGGCAGCAAGACTGGCTGAGTTTGATGGATCCTCCTTCTTTTTTTTTTCATTTTTTTTCTGGTACCGGGAATCAAACTCATGACCTTGTGCTTGCCAGGCAGGCGCTGTGCCGCTGAGCTAACCCCCAGCCCCTGATGCATCCTCTTTAAACACTCTTTTGGCTTGGATTTATGCTCAGTATTATTGAGGAGCCATAAGTGGGCAAAGAGTTGGGGTCCACTTCACTTTCACCAATTCAGACTTGCTGGATCCTCCAAAGAGAACATCAAGGTCACAGGACCTTACATGCGCTGCCCAGAACTCTGCCTAAGAATAGACTTGTGTACCCAGTCTCAAAGCAGGGCCATTGCAGCAAGTTTTGTTCTGTGTTGTAACAAAGACCAGACAACAGTGTCTGGTGGCCACAGTGAATTAAATGGACAGAGATTTGATCTCGAAAGTTATCTGTAAGTGGCACTACCAGGGAGAGGAGTGTATCTTTGGACTTGGAAAGATGTTACTAAACTTTCCTGTCTGTGAGTGGCTGCTGCCCTGTCTTTAGCTACCCCATGTGTCACTAGACTTGCTGATACAAGTGGACTTGATGGGGAATGGCAGTATTAGCTCTCCAGAATGTTTTGGGATGTTTAACTTTTTCTTTGAATTTTGGCCCAGAGGAAGAACCTGTGAGAGCAGGAGGAAGGTGTCATCTGGTACAGATGACAGGTGCAGCGGAGCATGCATGGACACCTCCCTGCGTGCCTGCGACCTTCCTGCACATGAAGCACAGAGAGGATCAGGGATGACTGAATGGTGCACAACACTGAATGGGGCTCTTGTCAGGTAGAGAGAAGAGCTAAGGAACACCACATGCCCATCTTCCATTTTCCACAATAATGGACATTGGTCATCCTAGTTTTATCTGGACCATTCGGTGATAATCAATGGCTTTCTCTCCCACGGACCCCAGCCAGAGGCAGGAAGAGCGTGTGACTTGGTCACAACTACATCGCTTTCTCTCAGCTCTCCTCATCATATCTTTCTTTGTATGAATGTGTGGAGAAATGCCTTCTTTATGTCATGCCATCTCAAGCAAGAGATCTTTGAGGATGGGAGATTTTTAATTGTTTCCTACAATCGTTTCAGTACTGTACAGGACCTGGCAGAGTTAGTTTGGAGGAAACTGTCCCCTATAAGCACATGAGCACTTTTATTGGAAGATCCAGCCTGAATGTGGTGTGATACCCTAAAATCCTGTTGGGCAAACCGAGGTCAAGACCAGTGATTGCAGTGGTGTTATGGGAGGAGAGTATAACAGTGAGGACATGTCTGAAGCAAAGGTTTGCAGATCAGGGTCCCTGACAAGGCTGAGTTGAAGGTGGCAAGGAGGTGGCAATAAGCACAGTGTATGAGGCAGCTACCGGGAAATTCCAACCCTGATGTGCATCTCTCTGCCCACAGCCCAGGACTCTGCCAGCCCTGTCCGGACCACAAACACAGGGCAGGTGCGGGGCAGCTTCGTCCATGTGGAGGGCACCGATGCGAGGGTCCACACCTTCCTGGGAATACCCTTCGCCAAGCCACCTCTAGGACCTTTGCGGTTTGCACCCCCTGAAGCCCCTGAGCCCTGGAGCGGTGTGAGGGATGCAACCTCGCACCCTGCTATGTAAGCTCTCTGGGAAACTGGGGAAACTCAGGCTCTTGGAGGAGAATGTGTGTCCTAACCCCAGGACAGGCTGCCGTGGTTCTGCCATGTAAATCCTTCAGCTAATTTTCCTCCGCACTGTGGGGGGAGGAGATTCCCATTATGAGCATGCTAGGCTCCAGAGGGTACAGGAACTATGTCAGTCTCAGCTCAGGGCTTGGGAGCCTAAAGGAATTAGCTCTAGGTGCTGAAGAGAGTGGCAGAGACACATTTCTTTTAGCTTTGAGTTATGCTAAGTATTCTATGATATTGAGGAGGTCTCTGGAAGAGATTCAGGTTAATGTGTGAATCCTATAAGAACCTCTGACCTAGCGACAGATACAACTGATCTCTCAGAAGTACTTACTATCCCTTTGGAGACTCCACCCCCTATAGTCACTGTGCCAACTGACAGGGTGAGGTGAGGTGCCAGGGTCTGGTTTTGACCACAAGAGGCCTTGGAATAACTGTCTGTCATTGTCATCAGGTGTCTGCAAGATGATCACTTTAATTCAGAGGGTCTGAAGCTGTTAAATATCATGCCTTCTATCCCCATACCCATGTCTGAAGACTGCCTGTACCTCAACATCTACACACCTGCCCATGTCCATGAGGGATCTAGTCTGCCTGTGAGTGTTAATCCATGGTCAGCTTGGGTATGGAGGACATTCCTTCTCCAAGATTAGAATTTGGCTAAGGATGTGGCTCAGTGATAGACATTTGCCCATCAAGCACAAAGTTCTAGCATCAAACCCAAGCACCACAAAATCAAACAAAACTGCAGGAGAATAAGAATGGACATGATTTGCCTGGTTCTGTTGCAGTGTAGATCCTGCTGTGAAGCCTTCTGCCATGGAGACCACGAAGGGTGTCTCAGCCAGGTTTGGTAGGCAACACCTAGCTTTTAGTCGCAGAACCCCAACTGGTACCAGAGATCAGAGGTCATGATGCCCAAGAGTTCAACTTTGAAACAACCCAAGAGCCCAGCTGCAATTTATCTGTTGGGCCAATGAAATAACAGTTTTATTAGTATTTAGGTATGACAGTATCAGAAAACCCCCCTTTTTCCTTTGTCAAGGGGTCTGAGAGTAATAGACCCTGGTTTGGATTCATGTGGTTAACTCAAAAGTAAGAAAATCTTGGTCTACCTGCTTGAACTTGGGTCTGTGACCCATCCCTCAGGTATGCAGTCTTTCTGGAGTCCTCTGTGGTAGTTGCCTAGAGCCTAAGCAGTGGATAGTGTATGAGGAGGCCAGGTAGTGTTTTGGCTGGGCAGAAGTCACATGGCATCTGTCTGTACTTCCCCAGGTGATGGTATGGATCCATGGTGGTGCACTGGTTGTAGGCATGGCTTCCCTGTATGATGGATCCCTTCTGGCAGCTTCTGAGAATGTGGTGGTGGTCATCATCCAGTACCGCCTAGGTGTCCTGGGCTTCTTCAGGTGAGCCTGGGGCTGTGCTGGGAAATAAGGCTGAGCAGAGCC